CCTGATTCTTTTTACTGTGGTTATTAATGAGTTGCACAAGCTTGTAATAACTTAGTGGGTACTCTAATTTGGTGATCCAAGCCCTACTTAAATTCTCAGCTCTCAATCTGATTTTCTTTAGCCATAGTAAAGGTGGCCAGAAGGTCCCTTTCATTTAGTGAAATAAAATACTCCAAAAGCTCAGCATAAGCTGAATGTGGTGAAAAAAAGGGAGCAAGAGGGGAGTACTCTAATGTCACACTACAGTGCCTATCCTTGTCTCTGTCGACTCCTTTTAGCTCATTTCCCTCCTGTGCTTTCTCATCTCCTTTTGTGCAAAGGCCTTAGCCTTCATCTGTGATGTTCCAAAACTGAACTGGAAATAATGGTACTTGTTATGAAACCCTCTTGGTCATCCTGCTTACTGGAAACTTGACTTCCTTCTAAAAACCTCTTCAGTGTATGTTTGGTATTTGAGAAGCTTATTCCACTAAAATACCACCTGTTTTGTGTTGGGAAGTGCGTTGAACACTGGAAGAACAAGGATTTCTATGGAATCTGAGACCTGGCACACTCTGTTGAGGGAATTAGCCAGGGGAAAAGGAGGTTTATTAAACCTAGAAAAAAGAACTGACCAGGACTTTCCCAGCTCTGTTTGTATTCTACAAACAGTATTTTATTAGCACCAAATATAGTGCAATATCCTGAGTTTTGTTTGCTTTTATAAACTTATTTAGATGATTTCTGTCTGTGCTCAGCATGGGATACAACACGGTAATTAAATAATTCACCAGCATGACTGTAAGCAGTGGACAGCAGGGATAGTAGGTGCCAGCCACTCCCAGAGACTTGTAAACAGCAATGAAACAAAATGGCACACAAGCAGTCAAATTAGACTGCATTAAGAACTTGGAATATTCTGCTTTTCTACAGTGTCCCTGCTGATCCAGGCTTGACAGTGTGAAGTGGGGAGGAGGAGTTCCTCCTTGAATAGTTGCATAACTGAGACACAGAACAAGCATATGTTATGTTCAGCTAACTGTGGGAACTTAGATGTGCTTTATAAAATGTGTTAATGACAAAAATGTTGTAGCTTCCAAGGCACCAGGCTGCTGGCATTGCTTAGTCCTTAATTGGAGGTTTATATGAAACCTCATTTTTTGAGTACTGAAACTTATGAATACAAAATAATGTGATAACCGAGACACACACTGTTGGTATTTAAGAGCACATGGAGTAACCAGTCTGACTTGTGTGTATCATCTCTTCAGGTGTTAATGTATGTTGTTGTATGTCTTTAGAGTTGCAAATTTCCAATTTTTATCTGTCCAGACTTGATGTTTTTAATTCAAGTTAGTACAGGTTTAAATTTGTTCCTGAAGGTGATCTGGAAGGGATTTTTCTTAACAAATTGAGGTTATGCGTGTTATTTTTATGAAGCAGAAAAACAACTTGAAAAGGCTAAAAGGAAATTCTGTTTTCATTAACCTTCAAAATATCAAGACTGTCAGCCCAGGTCTTCTGCGATTATGCTGAAGGACTGAGATATATACTGTTAGCTCCTGAATCTTAAATGAAGCAGCATATGTGTTGAATCTTTAATAAATTCATCTTTTTTTCCAAAATGTTAGACGCTGAAGTGAAGTGGGTGTTAGTAAAAACAAACAAAAGCAGAGTTTTGAGCTTCTGCCTTACTCTCTGTTACTGCATCTCTTCCTGTTTGCTGCTGCAGTATTGTCTTCCAGTCCTTCTCTAGTTGTAGCACGCCCTGGTTAGCCAAGACACAACTTCTCAGTGTGGAACTTGCAGGGTAAGGAGCTGGTGTCTCATGGCAGCCACCCTTCTCCTCACCCTGCCTTGCTTGGCATCAGCTGATGTTTGGGCATGGAAAGTTTGTGGAACTTGGTAGCAGTGAGGTGGCCAGGTAAGTAGCTGGTTCAGGGTTATCACTGTCAGTTTGAGGACTCTTTGCCTGTGGGAGGTGGTAATGTTTCTCCTCCAAGAACAGAGGAAGAGAAAGGCTCATTTTTAGCACTTGGTGGTTTTCTCCTTGTTCCAGTTTTAAACAATGACTTTCGTCATTGGTTTGTGCCATCAGGCCTTTTACTGTCTAGGAAGTAAGGGCTAAGAACAGTCCGAGCTCATTTCAGGGGTCAGGCTTTCCATTTTCCCTTAAAGAGCCACTCATTCCCTCCACACAGATTGATTACAGTGGTTTGTGCAGAGGCTGTCAGTTTGGGTGTTTTGTCTTTGTGAAAGTTACAGGACAGGTAAGCTCCATTTCCTCTGTGGTTTTTCTGATCTGCATACTGGTTTGAGAAATTTATAGTATCTTCTGCTATTTCTTCCCCAGTTTCTTTGGGATGTTACATGTGCATTCACTTGTGAATAATGACATGGATTTCACTAATAAGTAGCCTGACTGCAAGGGTGTTCTCTCACAACAGAGTTTTTCTGGATCTTTAGTATTGATCCAGATGTCTGAATGTTCCTTCCTTTGCCTCTTACTGTTCACCTGAGATACAGACTTTTTGATGGAAAGATGTGCTGGAGTTGCTATTACATGTGTTAGTGGCTTGAGATTTTCAGGAACGAGATGCACAAAAGATATTGTTTGACTTATACATTAATAGGAAATTATTTTCTCTCTAATGGGAACTATTGGTTACAGCACATTAAAGCTCAGTGCAGGGTTCTGTCAACATCTTGCTTGTTTTTCTCAACTTTTTCCCCATATTTGTCTCTATTGCCTCTGCTCTCCCTGCCTCTGGTTTCCATACCCTTTCTACTGGTTGTCTTCCTTTCTCATCTCTCTTTGTTGGATGTCTTTTACTTCTGTTTTTTTTTGCCAGGTTGGTTGTGTGTTCCTCCTTCTTCACTCCTTTCCCCCTGAAATACACTCAGACCTCTGTCAAAGCTGATATTTAGGCAATCCATGGATTTTTGTTGCAGTGAAAAACAAGTTTGAGATGACAGCCCTGTGGTCAGGGTCATGTAAACACTGTCAGGTGGACACTGGCCGGTTTCTGATGCATTTGGATACATCTTCATCTTGCCAGCACAGCTGGCACTGGTGCATTGTCCAAGTGGTGAATTGTCACACTTGCTGCTGTGGACCAGAGACATGACATTTGTCTTGTCTCAGGCTGTAGAATTCTGGTGCTCAACTCAATGGACTTTGCTTTTTCTCACTTGTTAAGTTCTGTGAGCAAGAACTTCTGTAAACAGGAGAGGAATAACCCTTTTATACTCCATGGAAACTGCATTTATTGAGCATTATACCAGTTTAATATGTGGTCTTTTTCTAAATCAATATGATAAAAAATATAATTGAATTTGTTCCACTTGGTCAGGGCTGCTTCCTTTATTGACCAAAGCAAACATACATGTGTTGGTTTGTTTTTTTTTCTCTAACTACTCTTGTAGGAGCCAGAAGGCAGTGACCTACCTTTGAAGCTCTAGCAGATAATAAAAGTGTCACTTTAGGCTGAGCAATGCTTGTGCCTGTGCAAAGCACCACACGTGTGTCAGAGCGTAGTCCAGGAACCTTGAAGTACTGATGTGTATCCGAGGAACTGCGTTGCTTAGTAAACCTTTTATTTCTGTGAAGAAAGGAGCAGTCTAGTTGTAGCTCTGATGAGAGAGAGGGTGAAACGCTGATTTGCTTTTTTAATTTTCTTGGGGTAGTCCACCTTTGTACCTCTTTTTCTTTTTCCTGCTCACCTTTTCTTTCCCTGTAGATTTGAAGCCTCTCCGTAGTACATGTACCTAGGGACTAAACCCTTGGGAAGCCAAGTTACTCATCAGGACTTATCGTCGCTTACTTAAGTACTAGTTCAGTGGTGATTTTTTGGGACAAAGATACTTTTTTTCCCCAGAACTGTTTTTTGCAATTTTAGCTAAAAGCAAGAACTCGCCCACTCTAACTTTGTGACTCTTGTTAATGAGTGCAGTGTGAGGGATATGTTTAATCCTCTGAGCTGTCACCCTCTTGGTAATGTGTGCCTGGCTGGTAGGTAGAGATGAGGCTGATAGCCAGGACAGAAAGCTCTTGCTTGTTCTCTTCCTGCAGGTGAAGAATTTGTTTATTGTCTGCTGCACTTGGCCCATCAAAACTCCTGTAAATGTCACTTTTTAAAGTGTTTTTTACACGTAGTCTTCTAGAAATGCTGGATCTGAAGTGTTTCTTGGAGTTGCAAGTTGTGTGCATGCTTCTGAAGTGCTTTAAGTGTTGTATGTGCTAGTTTGTTGCCTCCATTGTACTGAGTATGACCTTGGGGTCACAACATGGATATTGATAAGTAATAACTTGGTTGTCTTACCAATTTACAGTTCAGCTTTAGCATGAATTTGTTGTCACCTTCAATTTTAACAGGGAGAGATTTGCTTACTGTTGCAGAATTAACTTGTGGCCATTTGTATCCCTGGAACATTGTGAGAGCTCTTAAGTTTTTCACCTGTGTGTTTATCTGCCTAAGAAAGTACTCTACACTTAACACTAGTTTACATGCACACAGTTTTTCATGCTGTTACTACTGGTGTGGTACTCTCACCGCTGGGTTAACTTTGTTCTTGAAAGGGGGCAGAAGTGGAAACAAGGAGCAACTTTTGCCACTTGACTTGCAGAGTTTAGCCTGGAATCAGATACTGCTCTAAACTGGACTCTGGTTTCTGGGACCTTCTATCTATAATCCTGATGAGTGCACTGGGAAATAACTGTTTAACTGCTCTTGTTAGGTAATGTGTTGATTGATAAGTATTTTGCCTACCTGTGTTGATAAATGCATGATTGCATAGCAATTCCTAGAGTTCATAATGATCTTAGTCTTCAGAATGTCTTACAAACAAAATGAATACGAGGAGCAAGCCCCAACATAAATTTAATGTTGTATTTAGCAAGAAAAAAATCTCTTTCATGATCTATAAGGCGTTTTAAATACATGAAAAGTATGCTTGTGGTTTGTTTTTCTAAGCTTTCTTTTTCCATTCCTATTCTTTTCTGCTGTTTGTGTTACATGCAGGCAGCTGGAGTTATTTCGGATGGGGAGAACAGCTGAGTACGTAACAGTTTGATTTCTTGCAAGCTTTCTGATCGTATAGTGATGCAGCATGCTCCAGTATGAGGAAAAGTGGAAATATTCATGCATATAGAAAATCCGTTCCATTGTATTTTCTTTTACTTTCACTGAGTCTTCGTATTTGTGTGGATGGATGGCTGTTCATTTTTTCACTCTTTAGCTTTGTTTTGCTCATGTTTTAAGTGAGTTGCTTTTGCCTTCTGCTGGAATTTGAGGACATGATGACAGAACTGGACTATTACTCTCTTCCTGTAAAGGTGATTCTAGTTTTCTGCTTATGTGTGTCTTTTGTGTTGGTCTTCATACCTCTGTAAGCCCAAATCAATGTTTGGAATGATGGAAAAACACAAGGGAATCTGTAGTGATTGTTTTACTAAGATGTGAAAATATGTGGAAATATCTTCCAAATACTACTAATAGGAGTAAATCTGAAAGCAGAAATGGCAGGTGCACATATTCAAGCTCAGTGAGACACTATCATGGCAAAAGTGGCAGGGCTTTGCTTTAACTAATGCTTACCAGCCTGTGACAGGTAATATTCAGATACTGCAGCTGACTGTGATCTGTGGGGCTAATGCTACATGTGAAGACTGGTGTGATAACCTGTGCACCGGCCACCAAATTTTTGTTCATTTTTCCAGATAATGTGCATGAAACATCTTCACTTTCTGAAAGTCCTACAGGCAAGGCTTCTGCTCAAGATACAGTATGTGGCTTCTACAGCCCATAAGACCTGTAAAGACTGATCCATCAGGCTTAAAATGAAGGTGTCTGTTCCCTGTAAAAAAGTTACAAATGAGGGTGTTGCTAAGGGGAGCATGCAAAGAAAGATCACCGTGACTGCATCCATCAGGGAGGGGTTTCTGCCTGGTGCTTTTCCATTTTTGACACAATGGGATCTGGAGAGGATGCTCTTACTGCATCTGAGTCTAATGTCCAGCTAATGTTAGAGTGCATTTCACACATGGACCTGTTCTGCATTTTAGAATTCTCCCACCACTGACTTCCCCATTTCTTCTCCAGCAATGTTTTTTGTCCTCCTTGGTCTCCTGTCTTTGACCAAAGAATAAGTTCTTTGTGCATCAACAGCGTTGACCAACTCGTGCTGTCAGTGTTGAATGTCTCAGTTGTTTGGAGTTATTCTCAGAGGTGTGGTAGGATAACTGAGAGGTAACTTTTGTACACTACTAAACCAAAGATTAGTGTCCTAAACAGCTTTCTTTAATTTCTCAGTTTTGGGTATTTGGGAAGGAAGTGGGGTGCTTAGGCATTGGTCAGAGGTTTAGGAGGGTTGTGCAGAGCGTATTTCTCCTATTTATCTGGGGTGTTGGTGTGTGGAGTTTTTGATTTAAAAGGTATTTGTATTCATGAGGCTCCCTTCCTCCCTCTCCTTCATCCTTCCTGTGCTGTCCTCTTTGAAATCACGTTAGAATGCTTATAGGCAGGCCTGGGCCAGTGTTGATGATGTTTCCAAGTGAACTCCATTATCTTGACAATGTTATGAAAAATACACTTCTAATTGTAAACATTCAACAGCAACTGAGAAGGAAGCAGCAGAAACAGCATGATGGAAGATTTTTCCTGGTAAGAGCTTCTTGCTAAAGGAGTGCTGTAGCCCAGACCCTTCTTAGAGACGGGGGCACTTTAGGAAATGTTAGCAGCTAGTGCTGCTAACCTGGTCTTATTTTAGGAAAGGGAAAGACTTGAAGAAGTAGGATAGATGTTCAAAGTAGTCTTTGCACTTCAACCTGTCAGTTTGGTTCTTGACTGTTGAGTGTTTCAGCAGCAGAGTATTTTCAAGTGGGAAAAACAAGATTATGAAAGTTCTTAAACTGAAGACTCAATATTGTAAACTTGCCATCTTACAATTATGCAAATTTTTTAGTGTATTTTTAAGTGATGAGGGCAATACAATGAACTAATGACCTGCAGAATTGCACTTAAAGTATTTCTCACAACCTAGGTGTTTTTAGCATGGAGAGATATAGAAGGGCCTCAAAAAATGCCCTTGTGTCTTTTTTTCCCTTCCTTATTATTCAAGTCCTCTTTAGGCTAATATGCATTTTGATTAGCATAAGTTTTTAGAAAGTGTCCATGATTGCCATAAGGGACCGGTGATTTGGCAGATGATGGAGGAGTAGGGTCTGAGACTTAAGGAATGAAGTTGTGGGGAGCTATCCTGAAAAGAAGTTTGAGTGGATGAAGGGTGGGGAAGGTGAATTGCAAAGGCCTTGGTAGGGAGCTGGCAGAGATCTCTGCTGACTTGGACTGGACATAGTTCCTTCAGTTAGAACACTTTATTCTCTTCTACCATTATTGAAATATACAAAAGATGTGAACAGCTCAGTGCTTAATTTGGAGAACTAGTGAGGATTTTGCTTTTGTCCAAGATTTTGCTCAAGTTTATGGATGATAACTAAGCTTGTGGGACTGGACCTCAGCTCCCAGTGGCTGATGACACATTACGCTAGAAAAGCAGGATGCAATTAATACAGCCTTTTGAGAGGAGTTCCTGCTGTGCATTGGGACCTTAAACCAACGAAAACACTTCTTCAAGTGCATTCTTCCAGCCACCTGTAATAATTTTGCTGCTGGCTCTCCTTCCTGTCCTGAAGCTTGATTTAAGAAAGTTACCAGAGGCTAAAGGTGACTAGTTGACATGACATGACGGGACTGTGCAAAGTGGTTTTGAGATCAAGATGTTAAAAACTCTGTGTGTTCTACCCTGCAGCAGTGTAATAACTTTGAGAGGCAGGAGCTGAGGGGAGGAATAACAGGCAGAGAGGGTATCCCTCCTTTCCTTGATTTTCCCCACTCTGTAAAATCCTACTGTGTGATGTCACAATCCAATGGGTTTTCTTCTTATGCTGCCTATATGCATGAATATTCAATGATGAAACGTGAACAGCATGCTTGTGCCCTGCCCCTTCAGCCACACCCACAGCTGTCTGTGCAGTGGGTACAGTGACAAAGAAGCAGTTTTCGTCCCTTGAGAGCTCTTTGGTATATGTGAAATTTCTCAAAGTGTGATAACAGTTACTGACTTTTTTTGTTTATTGTTATGTATCTTGTTATTAATTTAACTAATCTGCAGAGACTGAGGCTAAGCTACAGCTTCGCTTTATGCAAGACTTGGTGTATCATCTGTTCGAAGAAAATAGTACTTGAATTTATCACACCATGTGTGTTGTGAGGGATATTTTGCTGAAACATGGACTGTAATGCCTCCTTTTGAAGAGGCACTGCATCCCCAAAGCTGGTTCTGCAAGCTTTTGTCAGTCTCTTGCTTAATTGAAATTTAGACATCAAGCATGTTAATGAACAGGATTATCACTATATGCTGGCATTTCACAGAATACTTTTTTGCAAAGGTAACGTGTGCTATATGCCACATATGGGCTAGTTTTTGATGCTTTTGATCAGGCTGAGCAATGTCTTCATTTGAGAACACTTCTGTTAGATAAAGTGAGGTTGCTCATAGGGCAGTTGCAGTTCAGCATGAACAGGAGTTTTTTTGAGTTGTCTCTTATTTATGAGGATTTCTGCCTGGTATTAACATCTATGGATGCTGTTAGGCTCATGGTGCATACATCAAAGAAACAGTATGTTCCTGTCTCAAGGAGCCTTGCATCCTTTAAACATACCTCAGGGAAGCAGTTAGTGTCATGATCCCAAAGTGACTTCCTCATGCTAAACGCCAGTAAGAATTGTGAGAAATTCTGGTACCAGCTTTTATAAACATATATACTCTAAATGTATGATTAACATTTAAGCTAATCAGCTATTTTTGGATGTTGCTTAGAGATACTGTGGTCCATGTGGGAAATCTTCATTTGATAGTACAGAGGTGAGATGGGATGGCTGGTTAACAAATCCAGATGGTGCTTCTGCGACAGTCTGATTCCTTTGGAAATCTCTGAGCCTGTCAGGTGGTCAGAGCTGCTGACCTGTAGAAGCTGTGTCCTGATTCCTGGTAACCACAACTGTCTAAGTCTTTGCACGCCCCGAAACTAAGCTTAGCCCAATACTAGTGAGTTACTGGATTCACTGGGGTTTTTTGACCCAGGTGATTGTACTACTGATTTGTACTTTTTGCTTTATTTTTGAGGTTAGCTAAATTGTTTATCCCGAGGCTGTTCATCTGGTGACTTTTACCAGCTCCCAGACCTGTATCTCAGTTAGGCTGCCTTCAGCTCCTACAAGTGCTGCCATGATGATGCAGCCACAGCTGAAGAACTTTCCATCGTACCAGAGTTACTTGGGCTTTAGCTTGAATGACAGCTACATCTGATGGGACCAAGAAATTAGTTGAGCAGCAAAGTGAGGCATTAAAAGGCTCTTTGGAGCAGTGTGTTTCTTTCCCAGTAAAAGTAATTATTGTGCATTAGATGGTAATGGCTCAAGTGTTCAGCAATGTCATTGCTCAGCTGAGTAATAGCTTGTTATTCTTCTGAGGACAGCATGTGCCTTGTGATTGACAAATAGATCAACCCTTGCTCCACAGGCTGGAAGTTTGGTGCTCCTCAGAGTGGTTTGGCACCTTACCATATAAAATCACTTTTGTGTAGTAAATCTTGAATGTTTCTCCTAAGCACTGAACTGTAATAAAATTGATGGACACTGCTTTTAATAAAGCTGAATAAAGCAGCATATGTTTGCTATTCATGTCTATTCAATTGACTAGAGACTGACAGGAACTCTGCAACATTTAAACTACTAAAAAGCAGGAGGCTTAACTTCGTTTTCAGTGTGGACAATCAAATTGAATTGGTTCTACTTAGGAGGGCAGAGCTGGGCTTTTTCAAGTGGCCCATATTTTGCAGACTTGTTTTCTGCTAGGGTTCTTTTCTACTCTTCCATCCATCTTCAGGGCACTAATCTTACTGTATTGTGAAGGAACTGAAAAGGTCACAGAACAAATTTTGCCTCAGATTGAAAAAATGGAAATTGAAATAGAGGTGTGGGAAGCACCAGTGGAAGAAGAAGGTGGTCTGTGATGCTGCATTCCATCTGCTTGGAATTTCAGCACTTAAATGTAGGTTTTATTAAGGATCTGGCCTGTAAAGAGCACCTTTAGCCTCATGGTCAATGACTGTGTAGAACACACACCACTGGGTAACTTTCTGGAGAGAGCTTTAATTTGATTGTCCCTTTTAGGCAGGCTTTTGTTGGCAGAGAGAATGAATAATGGCTGATCCTTATTTTCTTTTGTTTCAAGCATGTTAATGGTGCACTCCACTGCCTAACAGTGTGTGTATTTCACTTTAAGCTTGCAAAGATAACCTTGCATCCTGCACAGCCATACACAGCCGTATATTTTTGATACCTTTCCTCACTATAACTCGGCATTCTCCTTTTCTGAAGGGTTAACAAGCTAAAATGTTTCTGCGGGGAGAGGGACTCATTGGAGAGGAGCCTTTTCCTTTGTGAAGGTTATTATTAGTGTTAAGTACTATACTTAGGCTAATTTACTTGTATGTGTTAAATGTAGCAATTTTCCCCTATAAGAAGTAGTGTAATTGTTTATAAGCAGAACTGCTCTCCCAGTTCTGGTTTTCCTACTGAGTAGTTTACATTAGTTTCTCTTAAATTAAACTAATACTTTTACCAAAAAGGAGAGAAAAAAAGGCATGACATACCCATCCAGAACCCTACAGTTCTGCTTAAGGGTGCTGAGAAGAAGAGACAGTATTACAGCTTGAATTAAAGGTTGAAAAGTTTCCAGGAAAAGAGCTCCTTTCCATAAGGAAATGTTTTGGTGTTTTTGTTTGTTTTTTTTTTTTTGACCCAACATCTAAAGGTTCATTTTGGCAGCAGCAAAGTACCTGAAATTTTAGATGCTGGGGGGTTTTTTTGTTTGTTTTGATTAAAAATGTCTTAATCTGCTGATTAGTAATGAGTAAAGAGAAGTATACTCCTATGATGGGAAGAGGGAAAGGAAGGTGTGGACCTGATCACTGCAATTCCTTGGTGCATACTTGAGAGAGCTGGAGGTTATAGCCAGCTACCAGACGGAGATACATCCGCAGCAGAAACAGTGTTTTCTGCCATTCTTTCAAAACGAAATGGGCTTTACTGCCCCATGCAGGGCGACTTGAGAGAGCTGTGGCCTTAACTGGTTTTGTTTCTTAGCCTTTGAAGATGCTGACAGTGCTGTGGATGACCGGGACAGCGACTACCGCAGTGAGACCAGTAACAGCATCCCCCCTCCGTACCACACCACGGCCCAGCCCAACGCCTCCGTGCACCAGTTCACGGTACCCTCGCGCCTGCAGCAGCAAGGGGTCCTGCGGGATTCCTGTGCTGACTCCCTACAAAACTATGATCTGGATTACCGGGAGCACGTGGCCATCAGGTGAGTGCTGTCTGCTGGGTGGCTCTTCTTTTCCCGTTGTTTTGTGGCAGGGCCATGAAGCCGCCGTGCTGGCAGGGGAGGGCAGATCAAGGGCTTTAAAAGTCTTCTGATAGGAAGGTGTTTTGTTAGCGTTGGGATTGTGCTGTGAACCAGGAAAAACCCATGAGGCTCCGTGTTACACCAGATCTGGGAGTTTAGGGAGTGACCTTTAAAAGATATGCTCAACTTTGAGGTCATTTACTCTTGCCTGTACCCTCCCCTTACCTTTTGAAGGCCAGAGCACTGAGTAGTTGATTGTTCTGGTACCATTGCATGGGCATGCCTCCCAAGCCGGTGAAACACAGCCTAGCAGAGTTATCCTATTGGGAGCTTCTTTCCCGGGGCAGATTTATCTTCTGTCCTGGTTTAGTTCTGGTTCTATTGACTCTGTCAAAACAACGTATTCAAGAAGAAAGTTTGTAACCAATTAGTTGGGGTTTTTCGGTTGATTATTTTGTTTTTTTTTTGGTCCTCATATAACCTTGTTGAATTCTGTGCTTTCTCTTTTGGTTTACTTTGAGCTATATGAAAAATGGTTTACTCGATCTAATTTATATTTTTGACCATAAATCAGTGGTTTCACAACTGGTTTTAACTTAAGTATTAAGCATTACAGCATTAACTTATGATAATAAGTTAATAATAGAGCTGGTTGTGTAAGGAGAAAGCAGAAGAACTTGGACAGTGCTGGTCAGCTTGGTAAGAGTAGGTGTGTAGACAGGCTATGCTGCTGCTTCTGCCTTAGATGTGGAAGGAAGAGGCAATTGCTTAAAGACTATCACAGATGTGCAGAGTTTTATATGTATTATAACTGATTTGTTCTACTTTATGTCCCTTGGTAAGAATGTTCTTGTTTCCTGAAGCCTGAACCTGAATTCAGTTGTCCTCATGGGTGTATGACTGAGGCTAAATTTTGCTCTTCTTGACATATGGTCATTAATGGTAAAGGAAGAGTTTTAGTGGTAACATTTAATGTTGTTACTGTTATTGAGGTTTCAAGAACAGAGGCAAATATGCTGACAAAATGTGTTCACTGCAGTGTGACATGTCATTCCTAGCGCTCTTTTCCTAGTCCATTAAATATCTTGTATAAGCAAGTTATTCCCTTTCCCATGTGATTCTGTGCTGCTGGTTTGCAGTGATAAAATTGCTGAAGATCTTACTGAGAGTCTGTGTAGATGAGCTGAGGCATTCTCTTTATGGAAGAGCCAAACTGAACGGTGGGATTAGGCCCCCAGCCAGGGGAAGCCAATGGTGGCTGTGTATTTTTGCAGTTGTGTGACTTCTTGGGGTGGTGTTGACAATACAAGTAGTCTTTCATGGCTCACCTTTCTTGGAGCCAGGGTGTTTGTGAACTTTTAACTGTATCTAAAGGCTAAATGTGTTCATAAGACCTTCCAAAGAAGCACTTCTGGTTTGAATTGTTACAGAATAACAAGCTAGAGTTTGAATTTGTGGTTTTGGTTTTTTTTCCTGATTTCCTGAAGTATTGGTGTGAAACAATCTGGACTGATAAAATTTAATGAGCTTTGTAGACTGCTAAGGTCTAAAATTACTTTCAGTCCAGGAAGGCTAGATGGTGATCGATTCCCTCTGAGCCTTCCTGTTCCCATGTGCATTTTCCACATGCCCAACAAGATTTTTTGCTACATGTTTAATCTTAAAACTTAAAAAATGCAAATAAGCTTTCCAAAGAAGCTATGTGGGATTCTCGTTCTGACCAGGAAGGTATTTCTAATAAGCTGGCTGAAAAGAAGCATGTGGGTAGGTCTTAAATATTTTCAAAACAAAGTTTTAGCTGAGTATTGCAAAACTAAACTGTCCTAGCAGCAATTAATGCTGTGGACCAGGCAGTCACCTGATGAAATCAGTGATCCTGGCAGTCTGCAGGTTGCAGTTCATGACAACTGGTGGTTGCTGAGGAAACGACGGCTTGTAGGAGGCTGTCCTGGGCAGACCCAGAGGAACCAGACAAAGTTCTGCTAGAACCTGACTTGAATTGGGCAGAGTGTTGTCAGTGCCAAAATGCCTCAGTTGAAACTGTCCTAACACCTTAGTTTTTTTCTTACGACATTTGAGTTTGGGTGGAAAAGTTCTGGTTCTCTTTATTAGCTGTTACATGTGATCATCCTTGTTTGATAGAAGTACATGTATTTTCTTCCACACTTTCCTAGGGATAACAAGCAATATTCTTATTTGTCTTTGGAGAATGTTTTACTGCCAACAGCCAGTTTGGCTTCAGAATAGCAGATATCTTCCCCTCAGATTTCATTTATTTATTTTTTTTTTTAAGCACTAAGTTTTCTTTGCAGTGTTCATTTTGTGTAACCATTTGTCCTCCATGTCTCCCTGCTCTTTGCTCTCTTCACTCCCAAGGCGATTTGATAGCATAGATTCCACTGTGAGTGGCTGCACTGACCCAGAGTCCACATCTGAGTGTAGTCAGATGACAAGCTGCCAGTGCTCGCTAGAGAGCAGGCGCTCTCTAGATCTGTCGGATAGGTGGGTTGACCTCTCTGCGCCTGTGTGCTTGTCTTGTGATACATTTCAGCTGATGTTTGCTGTTTGCCTCCTCTCAGATCTGTGGTAATTAAGTGCTGGGCTGATGTTGTCATCTCTTAGTCCTCTCATGTGTTGGACTTCTCATCATTGCTTTATTTCTTGTGAAAGGGATGCTTTGTAGAAGTACGGGGGGAAACACTTATAGGGGAAGGCGCTCAATTGCAAAGAAAAGTAATTTCCTTTGTGCCTAAATTAGCCTATTGTTGGTTCAGCATTTACAGATAATGGCTCTTCAGGCATTCATGTAGGTCCCATTGCTTTCAGTTGAGATTTGGAAGGTCTTGATCCAGTAACTATGGTGGCCCTGGGAGTCTTTTAAATTTTGTTAGCTTTTAAAAGAAAATTATTTCAATTACTGTCTTAAAATTGTGAGCAAGAAGTGTAGTAAGTGTACTAAATGTTTATAACAGGAGTAATTTAAAGTAATGAGCACCGTTTCAATTAGAGTAAGTTGGGTAATACTGGTGGAAATGCAGTACTAAACCAGCAGTAGTGAAAATGCAATGACCTATTTCTTTTTCAGGGCTATCCCGATAGTGTTCTATATTGGGCTGCCCCAATATGATGATGTGAGACAAAGCTACGGTGCATCTTTCAGATGATCATTTTGTTATTTTTACATCCACTTTCTACCTGCTTATTTTTATGTAGATTGCCAGGAGCTGTTCTTGTGAGATTCAGATAAAGAGGAAGCTTTCTTGCTACTAGCCTTTGGGCTGTTGAACAGTTGAGATAATCCTTCTGACCAAGGGCTAGGAATTAATCCCAAAACCCCAAGGGTCATTTACTTGGGTTTCTGAGAAGCTTGGAATTGTTTCACAGTTTTAATCCATTCTCCCACAATGGACAAGTTGCTGGATCTGTTTAGATGCATTATAAAGGGGAAATACAGATCCTGAAAAGCATGTGAGGCTTGCAATGAGCTAATATCCAGTGCCAGTGTTTTATTTTACCTTCTGATCCAGTGACACCCCCGAGAACCTTAATTTTGTGTTGGTAGGAGCCCCTCCAGACCAGTAGCTGCAGTGAGAGCATTCTCAGCAAAGAGGAGTGGTGGAGTAGCCAAAACTCCTCATGCTGCTGGTGTGCACAGTTTGCACACTTGCCTGGAGTCCAGTGACTCTTGAGTTTTTACATGAAGTCTCTGCTTTGTAGCCACCCCTGGAAGACACAAAGTCATTCTGCTTTATGAATACTGCTAAAACAAAAGTTTGCAGCATGGAGTGACCAAAATGCAGGCACAGCGTAGTGGAATGGTGCGCGTGGGCACTGTATCTCAAAGTAGTCCTGCTATTGCAATAAGTGACTTCTTTTCAGCATGCCTAAAAAAGTAACAGCAGAATACTGGTGCAGCCAAGGCTGTGTGCCCTCACTTGATCACAAAAAGCTGTTCTCCTTCAAATAAGCACTTCTAATTTTTGTGCAGCCATAACCTGTGGAATCTCACAACCCATGCTGCTTTATTTGACTATTTCATTTAAATGTAATGGTGGTAGATTGGCAGGTTTTCAACTTTGTTATTTCTGAATGTTTCTGATTTAATTTTCCTTTATTTAATGCCTGTTTTACCATTGCTGTTTTTTCTGTCTTTTCTAGAGCTTTTTCTAAAACTGTTGTTTTTCCCTTCCTGTTTTTTTTGCTGCCTCTCTTTCTTTCCCTCCCACCTCCTTTATTTCTCATCTTAGACAAGGATCTCTAGCTAGAAATGAAAGAGTCAGGATCATTCCATTTAACTCTGAAGATGGAGAAGAAGAAGAGGAGAGTAACTATGAAGAGCTAGGAAAATTGCTAATAGAGGAATTCTTAGAAAAAAATCATAAAAATAGAAGTTGGCATGAGAAAAACATTAAAAAGATGCAGACTCTCTCAAAACGAGAAAATTTCAGTCACTGTGAAAGATCAAGGTGCTGCCAAAGGGTATGTGTGGAGTCAGGATCTGTAGATGTCCCTAGATATCCTGAGGAATATGATACAATAGATAGAAGAAGGAAAAAGAAGCTGCGATACAATTTTGGAGGGAGAGAACAAATAAGCCTGCAAGGTAATGGAGGTCTACATTTTCCTGGGGAGAAGGCAGTTTATTTCAATGGTGTGGCAACTAGTTCTGAACTAGTTGATGATTTCCCAGTATATGATAGAACTGGAAAATATACCAGTAGCTCAGAAAGTAAGGAACGGTTGCCTGCTTATCCAATCCTGCGTCCATACAAAAATGGGTTAATGGTTAAAAGTGGCAAGTTGCCCATCAAGCAGGGAATGAACCGTGAGGACTCACTTCACCTCAGTAACGCTGAAGACATGAAACACATCGGGATGCCAGAAAACACTTTTGTGCCTGTGGATGTCCTTGAGGAATTTGACAGCAGTGCTTCTGATGAGTTCCAGTACTCGCCTGTTTC